CTCTCTCTCTCTCTCTCTCTCTCTCTCTCTCTCTCTCTCTCTCTCTCGCGCGCAGCTGGAGGATATGGTTACAGGAATCAACGCAAGTTCTCAGAAGACATCGACTGGTCGTACGCAGGTGAGTCACACAGTTTATTTATGAAGAGAACTTCCTCTGCGTGTGAACTGGACTGGAATGTCGTCAGCAGGTTGGAGGTTTAGCTGCTCTGTGTTTATGTTGATGCTGTCCTGAGGGACACTCTGCTTATTTTTGGATGAACAGTGAAAGGAAGACGGTAGAAGCTCTTTGATATGTGCAGTATGTGGACCAGTCAGCTGCGTGCTAACTGAACATAGATGGAGGTTAATGTTCGTCACACTTCCTGCTAACATGTAAGTGTCTGAGCGAAGAAGAGGGACAGGTTTATGAACTTAAAGCATTTATTGTTGCTGCAAAAATATGAATCGTTTATAAAATCTTATAATTGATCCAAAAAACAAATGCCAATTTGATCTCTTAATGGCTCCAGTTGAACGTTTAGGTTTGGAGCTTTTGTTTTATACCCGTGTTTGCTCTCCACTGACATGCTAATATCCGTCCTGACCCAGACGCTTGTCTGACCTGGTTCGGGGGCTCTTTATCCTCCAGTGGAAGAAGCTCTAAACAGCCAATCAGAGCGAGGACAGAGAGTCATGTGACTGCTGGCATACCTGCATAACAGACACCACACCAGCTGGCTGAGACAACACGTAATTAGCACAGAAAACACTACAACACGTTATTAGCACAGAAGAGGGAAAAAGCTGCAAACATCTGCACGAGGGTTGTTTTCTGTTGAGTTCAAGAGATCTTAAAAATCAGATTTTTCAAAAAGGTATTCCGGTTGTTAAATGAGTTAGTCAGATGGAGGATGATTATTGGTTTTGAATAACGTCGGAGCTGCTCTTATTATCTATGCCAAGATTCAATGACTGTAGTCATAACCCATCATTTAGACAACCGTACCTTCTTATTGCATTGTAGTGTAAAAACAGCGTTCGTACTTGCTGGGAACAGGTTCCGATAAGCAGATGATAATCATGCTGACGGGGCCGGAGCTCACTCACGCAGCCTTTTGACTACCAGGTTGTTGCTGCGTAGAGGCTGAATGACGGGTTCCAGTTCATCGTTTCTTTTTGAATGTTGAACTTTGATTTGTTGACTCAGTTGATTGAAAACAAAACACAAGTCTTCAAAATGAAATGAACCAATACTTAATTGTTTAACTTTCCACTAGAGCGACATATTGACGTGTTTTCTGACACCGCTGTCGTCATCCTTCCAAAAACCAACAAATGTTATTACATCACTCTGGTTATTTTTTAACCTACTTTACCATGTTTACCACATGTCCAGTATTGAAGGAGAAGGCTGCATCTGCAAAACAGGCTGTGAAGTATTATTCAGGGCAGCTCCTCACCATAAGTGTTCGACCTGATTGTGCTCTGATTGTTATTTTAAGTGTCTGACAACAGGATGGAAAGAACCCGACAGAGAAATAAAGCTCTTTACTTTTCTCTTGATCCCGTCTGTTTGTTGCTGTGTGTCTCGCTCTGAGAAGTCTCGTTCTGACATCTTTCCTTCAATACTGGACCAATTTAAAAAAACATTGTTGTCACTCAGACACAAAAACATGTTAAATAGGGTCCAGGGTGAAACACACCAAAATCACCCTTTAAGGTTTGGTTAATTTTATGCACAAACACCACCAACACGTAACACGCTGTCAGGAGGTCGAGGGAACTTTTTGGTATTTTTGTGAGATCAGGCTGGAAAAACAAGTCATTGCAGAGAACACAAAAGGTTTGAAAAGTCCCCTTAATGTGCCGTGTATTGAGCTGGGTAACATAAGAACACAGAGACGCTCCCAATCAAACAGCCTCTCTTAAATATGACTCTCGGCGACGTCGTCCACTGAGAGCAGATGTGAACAAATCCACATGCACCGCGCTGCAGTCGCCTCCAGCAGGATATACGAGCAGGACGTCACATGCTGCTCAGATTAATTTTGCAATAAAAGTGAAACTAAGAGCTTGAGGCTGTAGATCAGATCGACAAGAATACGAGCTGCTGGATTAAATCTGTTTGGTCTGAAGTGCAGACCAGTGCAGGTGTCACACACACACACACACACACTCTGAATGAATGAACTCTGTGAGGGTCTGATCATTTGTATTCCTGGCTGTAACACTTTCCATACTGTATTTATGTCATCCGTCACGTCAGCGTGTTCTCTGTGTTTGAAAGCAAAGAGGAAACCTGAAGCTGAACTCTCTCTTTGAGCAGCAGTTCTCAGCTGCAGGCTGGATTTGGGAAACGTCCGACTTTGACCTCACGAGAGCTGCAAGAGAGAAAAAACCGTGAGAGCTGATATTGGAAGCCAGAGTGCAGCAGTGCAGCTGGATGTTATTAGCTCGTTAGCTCGCCGCTAGCTCTCCCAGAGCATCGCACCTGTAAGCGATCCCTGATGCTGCGATTTAGGCCCCGTCTACACATAAAACAGATATTTTCCTATGTTTTAAAATAAAATAGTTTGCACACGAACTTCGTTTTACAAAATATCTCCGTCCACACTAGAACGCTCCAAACGCTCGCCGGGCCAGTAGGTGGTGATTAAAGCTACATCAGCGATACGTGAAATACCGGAGAAGAAGATTCTGAGCACGCTCAGTGAGCTGATCTTTTCTTTGGCGGTGTTAATGAAATAGTAAACGATAACAAAGCAAAAGCTGAGGTGAACCAAATGGCATTGGGCGAATTTGTCCTGAGAGTGGTGCAGCCATGTTAAGATTAAATGTAAAGTAGTCATTAGACCGAGCAGTGCTAACAAAACATAAACAATCCGGTAGTCCTCCATCTTTGTTTCTGTTTCAGACGCATGCTCATTACACAAGGCGACAATGGGCGTGCACCAATTGGGGAGATGATGTCATCGTTTCCCAAACGATCCGTTTTACACGTCCACACTGATACAGGACCTTTTATACAAGTAAACTCTGTTCACATCTGTTTCAGAGTTGACAAAAGAGGGTTGTGTTCACTGTTGCAGAATAGAGCCGGAGAAGTTTAGTGAGTATTTTGTATACGTTGCATTTTGGACTCGGTTAAAGTCTGAATATTGAGAGGAATTAATTAGCTTTCTTGCAGCTTTTTTCGGCGGGTATGATGTCATTTCTGGTTAACACAAATTTGTAATTTTTCACACACTTTCTTCACAGAGTGAAGTGTGTGATTGTTGGGGGTTGCAAGAATTTTGGGACCTCAAAGGTCACAAAAGGTTAAGAAACTCATGACAATGTAGAAAAAACGTCACAGTGAACTATTCTGGCGGTTAGTGTGCAAGAAATTAAAGGACCATAATGATGTTGTTATTTTATTATGTGGTGATGCAGCTGTGAACCACTGACAGAAAGTTTTTCTCCAACATTTTAAATTGTTCTTTTCACAACATCTATGTTGAACTTTCGTCTTCTAGAGTTTATTTTCTTGCTCGTTCTTCAGAAGCTACTTTAAAGCCTCTGATGTGGGAGCTTTATCTGAACACTTGTTTGTTTGTTTTTTTCTCCGCCCTCCAGGAACCTTGAATCAGAACAACTGGGCCAAGAAGTTTCCGTCCTGCAGCAACGCCAAGCAGTCTCCCATCGACATCGAGGAGAACCTGGCTCAGGTGAAGCTGCAGTACCAGAAGCTGATGTTTGACGGCTGGGAGAGTCTGACGAGCGACAGGACGACCATCAAGAACGACGGCAAGACCGGTAAGACGTCAAGACCAGCCGGTGGGAAGAGACGACCGCGCTCGCTGCTTCCAAGAGCCCGTAGGACTGTTATTAATAACAATACATTTTTTTTTATGAACAAAACAGTTGACAAAATAAAAGTAATCTTAGCACCGTATATGTCATTTTATTAATGAATAAAGTGAAGGTAAAAATTGGTTTAAACTGCATCATTATTCCACAGAGCCAGGAACATAAAGATAATTATTTTAGTTATACTTATGTTTATTGAAGGCGTTGACGGTCATCTCTAAAGCCGTTTCTTGCAAAGGAAGCATGTTTTGAGCTGACTTTCTCTCCTCCACGTCCCCTAAAGAGACGCTTTCTCCCAGATAGATACTGAGCGTCGGGGCCTTTTCTCTTCCAGCGGCGTCCCGTTGTAAAGGATACAGTTACCAGTTTCTCATTTGACGGGATTGAGAGCCTTTTATATATTTGCTCTCTCTAAGTGGTGTGACACACAATAGCCTCCAGTGTGCATTCAAGGTAATTGTTAAGTGAAATTGTAGACAAGGACGGATCCCGCCTCGCCTTTCGAAAAAAAGCTCCAAACTGAGGAGCCCCGTGCTTCTTAGCAACGGGACTCTCAGGGCAATAAGAAGCACTCTGTTGTGGTTGCTGTTCACCCGCCAGCTGCACCCAAGGCTTTTATTCAGGGAGATGTTTTGGTGGACAATCTGAGGTTTGAGTGGACGTCAACCTGTTTTTTTTTTATCAGCCCACAAATGGGCCTTTAGTGGAGGTTGAGCAGGGTACGCAGACACAAATGGAGGATTCAGGATGGAGCGTTCATGCCTTTTGATACAAGCGGGTCAAACACACTTTTCAACAGGAGCGAATCAGCAACAACTTGAGTCAATATTTGCCCTGCCTCGAGAGACGGGGTTAATAGAAAACACAATAGAACAAAAGGAGATAAACACAGACAACAAAGAGGGCGTGAATGAGGCCAACCACGTCTACACAGATCACAGTGGTGGAGAGAATAAAAACCGACCAAAAGCAAACGGAGTGCTCAAAGCAACGCTGGCCAAAGTACAGAACAATATGGAAAAGGAGTCACGGCCAAAACATATTAAACGTGTAGTTTCTAGACCAGAAAACTCCATCTGTCACAGAAACTTTACTTTTCTATCAATTTAACTACGCAACGCTTCTTAACAGTTTAACCTTTGACTTTGTCGTTTATCAAAAATAATTCCTGTTGCTTATGCTCTTAAATTTAAATCACATTAATTCAATACTTTAATACAGTGGCCACTTAAAATATTATGAGTTGATGTAAGTCTGTAAATAAGTGTGAAGCTCAACTTTCTGGGAATGGGGGACCGTGTGGACTTGGCTTGGGAATTAAAGGGTCACTGGTTCAGGTCCACACACGGACCAAGTACGGAGCGTTGACTAGTTGCTGGAGTCTAATATTAAGATGTAACAAACAGAACGGACAGAGACGGTAAAAGATTGGTTTCTGTGCCAAGAGGTTCAGATAATTTTACTCAAGTTGGAAGTGGAAATCTAATGTTTAAACTAGGATGTGCAATGTACAGTGCTCAAATCATATTCTTTTTCATTTTTAATCTTTCATTTTTAATCTTTAATCTTTATTTTTTATTACGTTTAGCCAGCCCAGCCTTAAAGTGTTCAGCAGATCGATGTTTCTGCAGAGTTTCAAGTTCACATGAAATATTTGTATTATCTGCGCTAAACAATAGTCACGTGTTCCCTCTATTTTTGGCGGTGGCTGAGATGTACATTATAATACTGAAGATGAAAGGACCGAGTGATGCTCCACCTTCATGAGACCATCAAAGAGCGTTTGGACCCTCGAGGGGAACCTTTTGTCAGGTGAACAAAGACCGACCTGAAGAAGATCCCCTCGTTGATTGAGTCATTGTCTGAGGGTCTAGTAACGGTGTTAGTGGAGTATTGTTTGGCGTACGAGCTCTCGTCTTTTGATCTTCTGTACATTTATAATCAATTATTTCAATTAGAGGTCAGGCCTTCAAAGCTTTTAAAAGCAGTGGACACATTTGATCTAGAAGTTTGTTCACAAACGATGATTTAATTCGATAAATACACAGTGTCACGCATTTATGTCTTCACGTCTGTTTCTGTTTTCAGTGGCGGTCGATGTGGACGGAGAGTTCTACGTGAGCGGAGGCAGCTTAAGGTCAGAGGTCAAGGTGGGACGTATCACCTTCCACTGGGGGCGCTGCAACGCCTCCTCAGAGGGCTCCGAACACAGTCTGGATGGAGTCAAATACCCTCTGGAGGTGAGACGTCTTCTAGTATGTATGTATGTATGTATGTATGTATATATATATATATATATATATATATATATATATATATATGTTTTATTTACTGTGTACATTGCAGTCCTGTCTTCGTTACCTTTACTTGTTCAGCTTTGTTGCTGCAACTAATGATTCTTTTTTGATTAGTTGTTGGTGAAATTGGTGAAATGGTAAAATGTCAATCAGTGTTTCCCAAAGCCCAACATGACGTCCTCAAGTGTCTTGTTGTCTTGTCCACAACTCAAAGATGTTCAGTTTATTTTTTTTCTCTCACATAATGTATACTAAGCGGCTAGTATAAAAAAGTTGACAACTAATCAGTTCATCCATTAGTCTCTGCAGCTCTATTGTTGTCCTTGTTTTAGCTGCGATGTTTCTGTGTAAGAACATTGAGGGCAATGCAAAAAAAGACTCATTTGACAAGTTATGGTAATATTCACTGGACTTTTCATATTTCTGTTTCCTCCCACAGATGCAGATCTACTGTTATGAGGCGCATCGCTTCGACTCGTTAGATGAGACCATCAAGGCCGGAGGAAGAATCACAGCGCTCGCCGTGCTGTTCGAGGTGTGCTTCGCTTTACAGGGCGGATGATCGTGTTCCCTGAAGTCACTGAGACCAGATATGCAAATAACTCGTTCAATTCGGGTTCAACTAGCAGCGGAAGAAGTTTGTGGTGGAAAGTAACCATTTTGGTTAGTTAGGTCATTAGCTAAGACTGACCAAACTGTTAAACAGCTAATCGATAGCGACTTATTTCAAGGTTCATTTATTTGTCATTTTACAACAAAAATAAAGTTGTATTGATTTATATTTTCTATTAATAATCTGAATCTGCAAAGTAATTTATATTGTTTTTTAATAAATGTAGTCGAGTAAAAAGTACAATTAGCATCAAAATATACATCAAGTACAAAAAATAAAAAGTGTTAATTATGCAGAATAACATATATTATATTAATGAATGATAATAATTGATGCATTAATGTGTTCATCACTTTAATCTTGCAGCTCATTTCAATGAATGTATGTTCTCTTGGGTAGCTTTCAATAAAGTTTCATCCTAATCCATAATAATACATCATAATTTATTCGTTGATTATATTTTGTTTTATTAATCTGAATCTACAAAGTAATGTACGTTGTTAAACGAGTATTGGAGTAAAAAGTACAATATTGGCTTCAGTGTGGAGTAGAAGTACAACATGTTTATTGTAAAGTACAAGTACTTCAAAATTGTACATAAGTTCAGTACTGTCGTGGGATGAGGTGGAGCTGCTAGCAGACGGCTATCAGAGCTATTAGCTTCACTTTAACTCCGCGTTTTCAACACATTTAGGAGTACTGTCCTCTGAATAACGTGCAGTTTGTTGAGGTTTCAACAGAAAGTAAAATGCTTCTCAGCTTTTTCTGAATATTTTTGATTTTGCCCTGAACAGTCCAAGTTAACCCTGCTGTGTGGGCTTCACAGCAGTTAGCTCCAGGCTAATGGTTTGGATGAAAAACACCATTCTCCTACAAAAACACAGATCTTTTTTGAGTTGTTGCTCATTTCAGTAAATTGTCTGATTTTCAGCAGCTTATCTGGAATTCTAACAGTTGGCAGGTTTGAACACAGAATGACTTCATGGGTGACTTTTAGTTCGATGTGGAAGAAGTCTGATTGAGGGAATGAATCTCAGTGTTTCAGTAGCATCACCGGTGTAACACCTCGGTGTGTTTGATTCATACCTCGGCTGAGGATCATTGCCGAGCGCTCGTCTGTGTTTCTGTGTTCGTTGTCAGAGTTCACACCGAGCATCGTGCATTTCATGCAAACTCTGCCTGTGTTTTTGTTTTTGTGCGGTCGTGTTGCCTCCGGTCGGGTTGGCGTGTTGGAACTGACAGAGGCCATGTTTGAACAGAATAGCGTCTGATGTGGAGCTGCAGGGTGTGTGTGTGTGTGTGTGTGTGTGTGTGTGTGTGTGTGTGTGTGTGTTGTGTGGAGAGCAGGGCGGGAAACAAAAAGCTAGTGAATCTTGTTTTTGTTTTGTGCTCTGCCAACCTCCAACCAGCTTCCAAACAGTTTTAACTCTCTGAAGGTCATGTTGAAGGGAGTCTGCTGCTTTATTGGAGAGGGTGAATGTTATGCTACCTGAACGTCCTGGTTTTGAATCTGGCCTAATGTGGAAAACAGTCTTCACTTGATGAGCCTCAGTTGTCTTTACTTGAATATAAACATTTACACAACGAAGTGATAAGTAGCCTTTGCAGGTCAGATGGCAGACAGCTCCACATTTACCAGCTGCAACATTAAAGTGATGAACACATTAATGCATCAATAATTATTATTCAGTAATATGATATATAATAGTTTTTGGTACATTAAGTACATCTTGATGCTAATTCTCTTTTTTACTTTTAATTAGGGAACACTACACCTAAATGCAGCGTTGGTACATCATTCACTCTGTTACCTTGAATTGTTGAATTGCTTCTCTCACTCCTCTCCGGTGAACGAAGGATCAAAACACTAAGAAAAGGCTGGATGAATGGAGGTGAATGGAGGCTGCGTTCAACAACAAACCGTATGAAAACATCTGTATAATCCAGGTCTCATTTATCCGCAGGAGTTTGTTAACGGATGTTTTGATGAAGGATAAACAGGAAGGCAAGTCAAACGAAGAAGGAAATATTTATATTAAGGAACCTTTAGTGACTAATTCACTAATGTTTCCACCGCTGTAGGTCTTCAACAGGACATTTAGCATCTCTTAATATCTTAAACCCGACTCCCTTTTACTTCTATTCAATAAGACTTTTCTCCGTGTTTTGATTCTTCCTTCAATGTGGAAAAAAACAAGGAATCTCTCTTCCAGAGTTGGAGTTACCACGGGGAGAGTAGTTGATATACAGATGGTAGTTTTGTGGGTGAAGTATTCCTTTAAGTAAACTTCAATGCTGGACAGGAGTATTTCTACACTATGATGTACTTTTATCTCTTTAAGTAAAAGATCTGACTGACGGCTAAATTAATACAATGAGCTGCAGTTATGGAGAAATAGTTGAAATCCGTAAATGTATCAGATCAATAGTTCAGCGTCTGGTTCTCCAAAAGTTAAAAGTAGAGATCCACACTTGACCAAACCGATGGAGACATTGACGGTTTGACTCTATGAAACATTGTTTTACATGATTAATGACGGCACGACTTTATAAAGAGTCACTACGAGATCATCATGTTGGTTTGCTCTTCTCAGACGAGCGTCGACGACAACGTGAACTATGCCGCCATCATGGACGGCATCAACAGCGTGAGCAGATACGGTATGTTGCCGTTCTTCTTCTGTCCC